CGGACTAGGTGCGTTCCTCTAAGTCTTTCTACCAATATGACCAAGTTGCGAAAACAAGGTCAAACAACTTTATTGTTGCATATTAATTTCAATGAATTGCATGAGCAATAAGTAACTTTGGATTACATTTCATGAGCCTTGGAGTTCATTGCTTTTTTATTCTTGCCATTTCGACAAGGTCGTCTATACAATCTAAGTTGATGTAAAAGCTTTAAAAATTTAAACTTTAAACACGAGACCCTCTTGTCGATTGTAAGGCTTATTTCATGGGATATGCTATTTTAGAAGCCTTATTTTTCCATAATGAACCTAATACGCATGTGAACTTGTGAACATATTTTGAGTGGTTTTATCATTTCATAAATTTTTTAAATAGTTTTCTAAAATATAAATGAATCCTAATCAAGTATATTCATTTACACCTGAGTTATATGACATTTATTAAAGACTAGTCTAATTTTGTTTTGAATATTTCATCAGTTTGGATTTTATCAGAAAGCTTAAACTTGTCAAATATCTGTTCTTATTTCCTGTTCCGGCCAAAAAAAGGAATTTCCAAACAAATATTTACTTTTTCTTGGTCCATACAATTTTACAGGTTTTGCTCCTTTCTATGTCCAAAAATAAGTTAGCATTAAACAGTTTTCTCCCTGGAATCTGACTCTTATGTTTCCTTATGCATTTGTTACTTCTTAATTTCTTCAGGTCCTATGAATCCGGGCAAATTAACCATGGCTCTTCGTTCTGGACTTACTGCTGAGACGGCTTGGGCCTTGAATGCACTTAATGTTCTTCTCCGCGACGATAACTCTTTCGATACTGTCTTCTCTGGTTTCATTGCTCTGCCGGTGCTTATTTCTAGCCTCGTTGATGTATGGCGGCACACTCTTGTCGACTTGTTTCCACATGAAGTTGCCCTGGCTAAACTTGAATTACCCACTGATCTTGCTGGAGCTCTCTTACATAAGTCAATAAATGGGAATTCTGGTATCACAATCACCGGTATTAGTAGGACAGTCAATTCCTGCTTTCCGAGTATTCATAAAGTCGAGGATTCCTGCTGCTGCCAACGTCATCAAAATCGGAACCTGAGCCAGAATCAAAGCCATCAGCAACAGAGGAGCTCGCGAGCTTCCTGCACTTTGTGTACCTCATCTCATTTGGTTGTTGGAAAGCAGTCGACAATTCACTCAAGTGGGCTTCCCAACAGTTTGGTCAGCCTCGAATCTGAACTCGCTCATTTGGCTGTTGCGCACAACATCCCAGTCTCTTCATTGCGTGCCGGACTTCGGCGCCTATTACGTTCGCGACGACCAGTTTTCGGCATACCTGCTGTTAGTCGGACTCGACTAGGCGAGGATCCGGTTCGCACAGAAAGTGACTCTAGCTCCGTCTCCACCAATCTCGTATCTACATTTTCTAGACTAGCTAAACGACGATACTCCCGGATGACACATTCTGGGACCAATTCTCTTTCTGCTGGCACCATTGCCGGTATGAATGCTACCGGCTGTACTGCTGGCCAAACAATTTCTGATTCTGGTCCTAACACTCCTCCCTCCACCAACATACCTAACAGTTTCCACGCACCAGAAGCTTGCACTAATTTACGGGAGTTGGCTCTCTTTGTGATGGATGAACTTCTGGCCGAGACAAACTCTTCTCACGAGGCCCACACTAACTCAGAATACTCTACTCTTTATTGCCAGAAGCCTCTTTTTCGTACCGTCTCTGGCCTTTCAGACGAGGAGATCGAGATTGCTTACGCCAACCTGGACCTTTGTGAGCTTTTCGACCTAGGGGGCGGGGACACTACTTGCCATATATTGCCTCCATATGAATCATTTTCAATAGCTTCCGACTTGTCAACCCCCAATAGCAATTTGGCGGCTCCAATAACCCCAGCTTTATCATCTCTTGGTTCTTTTACTGAAGCAACAACAATACCCAAGACTCTCCCATCTAAAAGTGATACCACCGAAGATTTAAAACTCTTATCTTCTATGAGGTCCGCAACAGGGAAGATCGCTATTCAAGGAAAGCGTTCCCCCACTCGTCCTGATGCCGAGGAGCCTAGAGACAGTGGTGGCGGAACCATAGATACACACTTGCCCCGGTTTGCCTGTAAGAGGACACGCCATTCATCCGGTTCTTCACTCCCTTGCCCAGTACTCTCGCCTCAAGCCACTGGGAATTCAGTTGGTCGAGCAATGCGCCATGGTACCAAGTCATCGGGTAGTGCCACTGGTGACGGTGTTGAGGAGGATGAAGATGAGGAATTGATGGATATTGACGAAGCTCCTTCAGCTGGAGAGCTTACTCGTGCAGATGAGATTTTTGAGCCAGATAACGATGAGATTGACGAACCGTTGGAGGAGGATGTAGAAATCGAAGAACGGACGGACAAGAAGAAGTTATATGGTCTCAAGGCGCCAGAAGCTGAGCGGATACTGAATGGGAAAGATGTGAGCGAGGAGGGAGAGGTCGAGGAAGGGAGAATTGGAAAGGAACGAAGCGAGAGGACCGAAAATGAGGCTGATGCTCGTAAGGTGGTAGAGGAATCAGAGTATGGCAAAGAAAATGACGAATTTGGCCATCTGGTAGCTGATGCTAATGGCTGTTGTCCGCTGCGTGCTCGCGAGGAGCTTGTTAAGCTGGGAGAGCCCGCCCTGTGGCCGGTCGGCGCCGCGCGACAGTCGGCCGAGGGCCGGGCTCTTAGGTGCTTAGCCGTCTCAACTACTTTAAGGAATTTATCATTTTTCGGTCAATCTGAAAAACTTATGTGCCAGCATCGCGGTCTGCTTTTATTGATTGGTCGCGTCCTCTTACTTGGCCATGATCACATTGAACAAGGCGCCTCGTGGTGTGATGTGGAGCGCTCTCTGGCAGCGAGTGAAACTGCTTCAGCAGGCTGGATGGCTTGGTTAGATGAAATGCATGAGAACGCACTTGTAACTTTGGTTAATCTGGCTGGTCACTTACAGTTGGTTCAGTTTCCAGAGTCAATCGTACGACCTATACTCGACGGTATCCTACACTGGATCACTTGCCCTACGGCAGCCGCCATTGACCCTCTGCCTGGGCATCGAACACTTAGTCCTCGCCGACTTGCTCTCGAGGCTCTGAATCGTTTATGTGTGCGTGAGCGTAACGTTGATCTTCTGCTTGCAACTCCCTCTAGCACCGACAAGCTTGGTCGCGCTCGTCTAGCTGCTCTCTTTGATCGCCTGGCTAGCTGGCTAGCAATACCCGAGGATCAGGTCACTCGAGAGCTGGCTCTTTCAGCCATGCATTATTTAGCTGGTGGAACGCCAGGCACCACTACATCACTTCGCAAATCCTCTTCCTCAACCTCTGGTCTTCCTATAGGCGGTCCAGGCTGTGGTAACACAAATGGTACGGGGATCATGCCCGCATGGTTGTTGGCTGGCTCTTCAGATGGAATGGGAAGTGGTGTGAGTATGGCAATGGATGACAATCTCGATGTCCGAACCACTTGTGAGATAGCTGATTCCGAAACGTTTACTGGGGGCACGGTCGAGTCTGGTTTTGCCTCTCAGCCTAAATCTGGTTGGCCACTCGGACTACTATTGCTTGCTGATTCCCGGCCTTGTCCTGTAACAGGACTGATTGCTTTCATTGAGGCAGCTGAAGCAACTACACGTCGTGTCATCGACCAATTCGGTGTGCATGCTCTTCAGGAGCGACCAGATTTGATGGGCACAAGCCTCGAATTAGTGCGTCGTGCTGGTGCTCTTCTTGACCGCCTAGCTGCCGCAGCAGCAGCGACATCTACTACCGCATCTGGTTGTGGGGGTCGCAGGCGATTCACACCGGACATTGAATTACGTCTTCTTGATCTTGTTACTTCACGTGTCCTCGATGCCACCGTGGCCCAGCTACTCTCTGCTGCTCTTCATCGACTACCATCTTTTGCATTAACTGATTCCTACCCTAACTCAAATTTCCAGGCGCCTGTGTTGCGAGGACGTCGCCAAATGCGGATAGTGCCCTCAAATCTGCCTTCTCCAGCTGAAGTAGCTGCCATGATGCGAGAAGCTGATGATCAGATAACTAGGTTACAGTTTTTACGACGCCAACCTGGTCAAAGAGCCTCCATAAATGAATCTGCTCCCTCGGCTCCGTCTACCCAAAGCTCAAATTCAACTCTTCAGTCCCATGATGGAGAAACGCCACATATGCAGAAACCCCAACATCCTCGTCAGGCTCAACATCCTCAGGCACCCCAGCCTCCATTTGATTCAGGCGACTCTTTGCCCCATAATACACTTTCCCACCAATTAGTTCAGCCGGCAGTCGGCCTGGAGACTCCAGCGGCTCATCTGCTATCCCCTGAAGACAAGATCACTAAGGAAGAAACTGGTCCTCCCCGAAATCACTCAGAAACTCTATTGGTTCGTTTACCACCGCAGACGCCGGCTATGCTTGTGGGCAGTTTGAAACCAGAAGAGGCAAGTGGCACCAAATCCGTATCTACAGATCCTCCTGTCAGCCTAGATCAGAGTCCGGCGAACTTGCATGAGCCAACTCATCTCAACGAGCAGAGGTTATGTGGTGAGGAAGATGGTAAAACTGTAGCCGGTCTTCTATCCGCCCATAATCCTACTCTCTCTTCTGGCTCAAATTCCTCCAACTATTCCTCCAGCTCATCAACTTCTTCATGTTCTTCTGCATCAACCTCCACTTCAGGGATAGGCGCATCTTGCACTTTTATCTCTTCTTCCTCTTCCTCTTCCTCTTCTTCCTCATCATCGTCTTCATCTAGCTCCTCAAATGAAGAAGCTCATTCTCTCCCTAAGGCTGATAATGATACGGTTACTCCATCCTCACAGAATGTGCCTGTCCCCAAGGCACTTGCAAGCTCATCAATCGCGTGAATCAGACCAACTCATGACTCAGCAAAGCTTTTATGCTTCTCAATACAATCTTATCCAACTTTCTATGTGGCTTCAACTCATCCCTTTCTTTTTATCTCCCTTAGGTGTTCCTTGATGGACCATCCTCTCTGTCTTTGTCCACCTGTTGGGCCACTGATCTCGTTCTTGATTCACTTATCCTAATTACCCCTGGGCTTATTTCAATCGAGGAGATTTCTTTATCCAATCTCAGTTCTGCTCTTCCCTGAAAAGATTTTTGGGATAAATAATACTCATTTTGAAATTATCTTGCTCATCCTCCCACTCTTCTGAATCCCTTCTTTTGCTTTAGACGGAGAGACCCAAGCTGTGCATGTTATCTCCGATGCAAAAAGCAATGAACTTAACTGGCCAACCGTGTCCATTTGGATTTGTACACACATTTCTCTACCCTCATTTAACTTTGTGAATGAACCCGGTTGTACGTTTACACTTGTTCTCGATATCATCCCACGGGATGGTGATGGCTCATATCTTATGCTAAATGAGCTGGATTTTTCTTTCCTGACCAAATGGTCAACGCCCTGTACCACCCTGTATGAATCAAAATCGACCTCGTACGATTTAGACCATCGTTTACGAAACCCCACGTGATCGTTCTTCACTGATAACAATGACATGTATTTTTTACCTACTTATCATTTATCATCTCATATACATATTATATATATATATATATATATATATATATA